GGACGTTAACTGTCATTACATGTGAAAAACAGCACACACACACACACACACACACACACACACACACACACACACACACACACAGTCAATATGCAGCCATCGGTCTTCAGATATCACAAGAAATCAGACTGCACAACATGGTGATGTTCGAGTTACAAATACTCCTGTTAATGACCAGAAAGTTAAATATTGTTTTGATATTTGATTTGGAGTTTGTTCTCTTTTGTATATCATTATAAAACACATTGTGTTCACTGTGCAGATTAGACGGAGTAAGAAATCTCATGATCAGATCAAACAACTCATTTAAAAAGACCATAACTTTACTATATGTGCAGATTCATGTATTGAATTCAAACATTACTGGATCCATTTATATCAAAGATCCTCTACAGACATATTTTAAACATAAAATACTCTAAATTAGGATAATAAATGGTGTCTAATATGGTTTGTTTTTTGGAAGTTTACCGTGTTAAGAATAGTATATAACCCTTTCTATCGCAACACAAGACACAATATGTCTCCATAAGTCAACAATCTTTCTCTTCTTGTTGCTACAGTGTGATGTTTGAATGATGTCTGACACTAGAAGGATGTATTTACATTAATGTGCTGGAAGAGTTTCTCTCAGCTCATTGATGAAGATTTTTAAAGGGGGCGGGGCCTAAGAGCATAATTTGTGACATCACAAACAGATACAATACAGGTGTGATGTAGAAACTTGAAGCCACCAGTGCACAAACACCGAGAATGGACTTCAGTAAGAAGTAGAAAAATGATCAAAACGTGTATATTTACAGATTCTGGAAGTTTTAATGAGCTAGAAGGAGTAGATAACTTTTAAAAGATTTTAATGTGGAAATAAAACCTTTTTTTGTTGTTGTGGAAAACACATATCAGACACACGTTATTAAGTTTTAACGTCACACTTGTGTAAGTTGCATATTGGATAATAGCTGGCTAACAGTTGAGATGTCCTCGTGAGCACAAAAGAGCTTCCTTCCCCATTCAGCAGCTAAATGTCCTAATGTGAAACTCTGAACATGCACAGGGAATCTCAGACATCCAAGTTAAGTAACAACAAGCTTTTAAAGGTGCAGTAGGTAAGTTTTATGGAAATTACTTCTCATATGTGCTGAAACTTATATCACTATATCCTGACAGTAGTACATGAGACAGATAATCTGTGAAAGGTCATCAAAAGAGACTCATAACAACAATTAGCAATCTTTCTGAGCTCTGATTGGTTGTTTTCATCCAGGCTGAATTCTTATTAATACCATTAGGAGCAGCCGGATTGTCTGTCAGATTATCTGTTTGATGAATTACTGTCAGGATGCAGTGAAAGTTACAGCAAACAGGACAAAAACATATTTTTATTAAAGTCACTTACTGCAGCTTTAATTAAAGAAGAACAGACTTAGTGATGTCCTGTGAGGTAAACAGACTTCCTGAGGATGGCCTTAACATTTTTTTAATGAATTAATCACACTAATGTGGATGTTAATATTGAGTAAAACAATAATAACAAACACTTGAAACCCTCCTTTAACATATGTATGTGTGCTAATGCAGCATCACTCTGCAGGAAATGAAAATGCTGTTAAAAAGTGGACATCCCCCTCCTCTTTAATTAATAATAATAATAAATAATAACAACATTAAAGCCATGCTATCACTGTCATTAGTGAGGCTACCTGTCTTCCCACACTGAGGGTCTTTCCAATGCTGAACAGACGGCGACGACTCGGGATGTTTCGGATCCAAACCCGGGAATATAAAAGCTTCTCCAGCACCAAACTTTGGTTTATAATCCACAGTCGGGGTCAGGAAAAGTGTGTGCTTCTTCTCAAACAGGAACTTTATCTGCACGCAGCCCAGACTGTGAGTTTTAAGAAGAGAGAGCTGTCACTCTGCGGCTGTTTCCAAAAACTAAATCAGTCATTACGAATACAGGCGGGAAACAGAGCTGGAGTCACGTGGTTTCCGGTTTCTTTTATTTATTTGTTTGTTTATTTTATTGACTAACAGCAGGTAAACATTATATATTTAGTATATTAGTTAACGAAAATGTTGTTTAGGGTAAATTAATTAATTTACGGTTGTATTTCTTGATTTCATTCTTCAAACAATTTAATAAAAACGATTTTAAAAAAGATGATTTCATGATTGCAACATTTTGATTTATGAATATTTTTGCAAGAAGTGGGATCATGTTGATTTGATTTATTTAACCTTACAAATAAACGTCAAACATTGCGACAAATACATGCATACGTGTCGAGGGTAACACAAAAAAAAGTTAGAAAAATAATTTATTTCCATTGTGTTCGTTGTTCCAGGACGATAAGACGGAAATACAAGTCACAGATGACTACAATAAACCACCATGAGGCTGTCTTAAATTTGATTATATTAATTGTTTTGGTAGGAGAGTAAGAAAAGAAGTCAAACAATACATTTTCATATGAAAGGGTTAATTCAGAATCAGTATATTGAGAAATAAAATCACAAATATCTCTCCAAAAAGAACAAGAATGAAGACAAGACCAAAATAAATTACATAAATCTTCTGGAGCCAGTTGACAAAATAAGAATGTTACAATAATGTCCTTTATATATATATATATATATATATTAACTTGAAGGCATAAAACATTATAAATTATTTTAAAAGTCACTTCCTTGACCTTAATTAGACTCCATATTTTCTTCCAGTCCAGGTCTGAACAGAGGTTGTTTCAGTAGGAAACTACATTCAACAACAGAGAGACCATTTCTTTTTTAAATAAAGAACAGTTATTATTCTTTTTTTAGATGAGAAACAAAGTTCAGCATTATCAGCGGGATCCAGCTGTAGTAAAGTCGGTTTAGACTACTGAGCGGATTTTAACCACAGTGCTTCACCTACTATGACGTGTCAAAGTATCTTCCATGAAAAGGTCTATTAAAATTATAAATGGGAACTGTGGATTTAAAAACAAATACACCAGTTTATTAGCTAGAAAGGTATAGATTCAACTCTGTGGTCAGTTTGGAAGCTGCAGTTTGTGATGCTGTTGTATTGCTTTTTACAGAGAGATGTTTCTGTCATTTAGTCTACTGTCATCTCTTAAACAATAAAACATATATACAATAAAAACTGGACTCTGTAGGATGTATCAGGACTTAGTTTTAGCTAATTTTAACTAAGTACTACTCACCTACTAAACTGGCAGCTGAGTGTATGCGTGTGAAAAATAGGAAGTTTGTTCCATCAAAATGAATCAATATGAAACTTGTATCTAACTCAGAGGACAGCAACAATAGTGCAAAACACTATAAAGTCACATATACAAAACTCACAAACCACACAAAACGTTTTACCTGCACAGAAAGTAAGCCTTTTATTCTGATAATGGTCACCAATGGTTACAGTCATGCTGATGTTTTTTTTTTTACCCAGGTTTTTATTAATTCAGGTTCTTAATTTACCTTAAAACAGAAATACAAAATACACTGCAGCTCTTCGCCATGGCAACAACAGTTGGTACCCTAGCAACATCCAAGCCAGTGTTGTTGCCTTTAATCTCAGAAAACTTGATTTATTTATTTGACCTTAAACTCAGAACTCAGATACAGTTTTCATAAGTGGCTCTAATCTACTTTTTTATAGGTATTTGATTCAGGTGTGCAGTTTTTTTTATCCACTAGGATGTGACATCTCTTTCTAACAGAGACGATCTTTGGCGTGAAACAAAGAGGAAACACCTCACTTCCGCTTCGAGGGGCGGAAGTTGTTTTTATCAGTATTCTCTCCCGCCAAAGTTACAGTCCGCACAAAATAAACTATTAAATAATAATATATGTCCCCAACAGAGGTCTAACTTACCCAAACAGCAAACGATACTTTTGTGCTTAAATTTATCACCAAAACATATATAAAAAAATATATATATATATATTTTAATTTGAAAATTCTCCATGTATGTGTGCGCCAAAGAGTGCATTAAAACACTGAACGACACTCGTATTATATCCAGGCTGTAACAACTACTTTTTTTAACATGTTGGCTGTTGTTTTTTTTATGTCTAGTAAACGCAGCCAGCAGCTGGAGCTCCAGCCTGCGGACAGTATGTACCTCTGTGTGTTTTTAATGGGTGGAGAGACCAGAGATCCTCCTCCCAAAAAAATATCAGACAGACAAACACAAGTCAGCTTCACCAGCAGCAGCACCAGCTCACTATTAACCGTACATCCTCACAGGCCCGCGGAACCTGAACCTTATCTGGGGTCAGTTTTTTTGACTTAAGTCCCGCACATTGCACTGGATCAGTTTTAGCTAACGTTAGAAAGAAAAAAATATCGAGGTAAGTGCTAAATTAGCTGGTTGGGGATCAGTTTGAGTGTCGGCCGTGAGGAGTTGTACAGAAACAAAGCGTTAAGTTAGGATAAAAAGTGAGCCATGTTGGTCTACTAGCTTCAAACTCCCTCGACCGTTAGTCGGACGGTTTGGGCCGAATTACTTATAAACCGCCGATAACCGTTGGAAACCGTTGACGTGAGGGTTCTGTGCGTCGGCGATGACGTGTCTGTATGCATGTATGTCTCATCTAACGTTAGAAACATCGTCAAAAAAGGCAAACGTTAGCCCAATTTATGGCGTCTAAAGGCTAAAACAACCACACAAGGGCTCCAAAGTCCAAACATTTCTGCCTTTTTATTGGGTTAACCGACAGCTTCGACAAGTTAGCGTTAAAATGTACACGAATCTTTTAACTTTTAAAAAAAAAAAGTCTCGTTTTAACTGCCTTTTAACGTGCCTTTACGTTAACGTATAGTTTACGTAAGCGTCAGCCGTTACGAAAACATACAGGTTGAGTTAGCCTTTAGCTTTAACTACTCCTATTTAATGTGAAACTGTACCAGGATACACGGGGTGATAATGTTGTTTGCCCATCCGATAAATGTCACCACAGCTGGCAAACACGTACTGTGAAGTAACATGGTGCTTAATGGCTGAATAACGCCTTTGTGTGGGCATATTTTTATAACTTTTGAACACATCATTGATGAGGCCTTAAGTGAGGTTACTTAAAAGTCTGCTTTGGGGAATATGGAGGTCATTCTTTTAACCTGCCAGCAAATGTTAAAAGTCCAGAAGACATTAATGCTGCTTCAACATTAAACATTTTGTGTTTCAACAGTTTTGAAAGTGTATAAACTCTTGTTATTGTCTATTATTACAACTTGTTGTGCAGCTCTGGCAGACTGTGAACTGGTCTGCCTTGTTTTAGGATCTGCAGCACACCCAAAGCAAGCTCCTGTTATTTTCTTTAGTAAACTGTGTGCTTACTACAGCCCCATTCCTGTTGACATTCAGTTAAAGCTCGACTGACACTTTATAATAAACATTTTGTCTGTTCGGAAGACTTTTAATAACACATGGTATGCAGCCTTGTCACGAAAAGTCCATTACTTGTTTCTGCAGTTGCCCTCTTTAACAGGAATAAACTGTGCAACAACAAGCACAGACACAGATCTAGGACAAGGTTTACATCATAACAGAAACTACATTAGGGGCGCCAGGAGAGGACAAACTGTTTCAGGTAGAAGCATTAATGACTGTCTGAATATACCCTTATATATCTGTGTTTATTGTGTGTCTCTTATGGTTATTGTGTCATTTATTTGTCTTTCCAGAGAGATGAGTCAGGCAGAGCAGGAGCCTGAGGACGTGACCGCATACCTCAACAATGAGACAGTAACTTCAGGTAAGTTTTAGTTGCTAAATGTGCATTTGGCAGTGAGAAATTAATGTTTATTCACGCCAATGTGAAGGGTTTTAGTTTATAATTGTTTTTTAGTCAAAGAACTCGATAAGATAAGATGTACCTTTTATTAATCCCCCGTAGGAGAAATTCTAGTGACACACAGCAGCATTGGGGAATATAGTGCAATAAAAAGAGTACAAAGTACAAAGTGTACAAATACATTCTTATCACAATGAAGAATATTACAAATTATAATAGAAATATCAAACTATAACTGAAAAATATATACACTATATGCAATGTGCAATTTAAAAAAATATTTTAGGCAGCTTGACTAAAAAACTAAACTGTACATGTGCAATTTAAGATAAATAATATAAGTTTGGTTGAATTTAAACAGTCTTAGTCAGCGTGGGTGGGATGTACTGGGTGCTGTGGCGTCGTGGGACAGATTATATAGAAATAAGGATGCTGTATTGTACATAAAGATGATTTATTTCTGCAGTAATCAGCTACTATAATGGTTAACTTAATATGTTCAGATTGGCGTTCCCATGAGGCAGAGTTGTTGTTTACCAAAAGACATTTTAAAGGACCAGTGTGTAGGATTTAGTGGCATCAAGCGGGGAAGTTACTAACTGAACACCGCTCGCATCAGTATTTGATGACCTGGGAACGAGGCTGTGAAGTGCGTAGGAGAAACTACGGTGGCAAACTCACGTAAGGCCGCATCTAGAGCCAGTGTTTGGTTTGTCCTTTCTGAGCTACTGTAGAAACAAGGTGGTTCAACATGGCTGCATCCATGAAAGGTCGACCCACAGCGTCTGTAGATTAAAAAAAGTAGATCTTCCTAAATGTTAGACACTGAATCTTT